TAATTAGTTAAATCCTCAATTTACGGCTAAAATTCCATTTGCGTACCTCTGTAGCCCAAATATTTGTTTCAATGAATGTATTTTTGTCATTAAATGTTGCTACTTACTTTATTACATTGTTTAGGAAACTTCTCTTGTTTCTCCAGAGTGTTCTTCAGGAAATATTCAAGAAAAACCAGTTTGCCATGGTATGACTTTTGCGTACCTCTCAGGAGAATAGATTACATTCTATTGTTATGAAACTACAATAAAGAGACCCTTTACATGTTTTTACATTGTTTAAAGTTGTTTTTGAATTTCCCCTGTTGCTGGTTTTTTAGTTATAACAATTTACATTCAGCCATTTTGCTAAGATGCCATTGATTGCTGCCATTAATTTAATGAATAGTGATGGGCGATATATCGATTCTTTATCGATATAAACGATATTTTACGGAATCAATTTGAATCATTATCGAAAATTTTATGCAATTTTCATCGATCTATTGACCACGCCCATTTATTAACGGTTAAATAACTAATTTTAATAAGCAATTGCACTGTTGATCTGCAAGAAAGAGGCAACTGACCAGTTGTTAGCTCAGCCTACCCCAATAAGAAGAGAAACAAGACTCAAGAGCATGGAAATGATCTCTCATGTCCAGTACAGTGCCAAAATCATTAGCCACACCCTTGACACACCCCTAAATGAAGGTGTGGTTATCGTATCGTTAATAATCGATATTTCCTTTAAAAGTCCATTATTGATCGTTATCGAAAATTAAGAAAATTGGCCATATCGCCCATCACTATTAATGAATAATAACAGAGTCTGATAATTGACTTCCGGTCCGTAACCAATCCCGGTTACGTTAGTCTCCCTGCTCGAATTGCTCGAAGTAGAGCGAAGGACAGTTTAGTTCTAACCCAGTTCACAGTCACACTGTAGTGTAGATCCCATCTAACAGAAAGATGGTCAGCTAGACGATCAATAAAGGATCTCATTTCACTACCCATAACGCCATCAACTGTCAAACACAGTGGAGGAAACTACAGTGGTTGGACTCACAAGCTGCAACATATTTTGTTTTCTTATCATTCTCTGCAGTAGCTAAGACAGCTTGAGGGGTCCTGTTAGCACTGATATAAGAGGGGGAATCAGAGTCAACTACTCGGACATCAAACATGGCAGCACGGTACACTGCCTCTGCCAGACACCTCGAGCAGCCATATCAGCAACAAGACCCTCTGAGTTAGTAGTCGCATTTGGTTCTTGTATAATGGGCTCTCTCACAACATTGCTCCACACGATAGATGACAAGTCACACAAAGGGTCACGAATCTCATTATGTCTCAAAGACACAAGTCCTTCCTTTCTATTATTATTATTAATGTGCTTTTATTTTTTCTTTGTCTTTTACTTTCTTTTTATTTGTTCCTTTTTGAGACAAATATATTGAGAATGGAAACAAGACTGTCATGCAGTGACTTGCTGAAATGAAGGAAGGTCAGCTAGAGAAAAGTTCTGAAAGACTGAGGGAGAGATAGAAATAAAGGAGAGGGAAATAGAAAGAAATGATAGCAACAAAGGGAGAGACAGTGACATGAGTGTGAGTCAGTAAGAGAAGGAATGTACAGTATATACTGGAGAAGGAGAGAGAGAGAGATTGATGAGAGATCAAGAGATGATCATGTGTTAGATTTATGATAATAATTATAATGTGTCACTGGTCCACCTTTTATCATGTAAAGTAGTTACCACCATTCTACTCTGCCTTGTATGAGGTGATAGTTAGGATAAGTATTACTACAAGCCTCTTTGTGTTGCTTGTCTAGCCAGAGTTTCCTTATCTTCTTATTATCCATTAGTGACTGGAGGATGAGTAGTATTGACTCAGTAGATAATGAAGTCTCTGTTAGATTCAGTTCAACTAGTGATGAGTTATTGAGGAGGAGGTGAGAAAGAGCCTGTCCACTAGCAGAAGTGATGAGAGGATTATGAAAAAGAACTAATGAGGTAATTGTAGAGTTGTGTTTAAGTGCTTGACAGATATTAGTAACTCCTCTATCACTGATGGAGTGATGCATGATTTCTAGTTCTTGTATTGTTTTATTATTAGTTAGTAGCATACTAGTAATTAAGTACTGCATGGATACAATCATTAGTTAATGGAGTAGTCCATATCACAAGCCTCCTCAGGATTAGTGTATGCAGTTTAGTTGATGATAGTAGAGATACTGTACTATTAGTAGATGAGTAGTTGAGTCTAATCTCCTTATGATTATTATTAACCTTACTAATCACTTCATTACACTGAATTGGAGATGGAGAGGAAATGTCTACCCAGTCACTGCCCCAGTCCACTGTCCCAGTGATTCCTAATTTAAACCAAGGGGTTATTCCTTTATACATGTATGTACATAATAATACACATATTCACATCATGTGTATATACAAACACACACAACTTGCATAAACAAATACAGACATAACTAGTAGCTGCCACTGACATTTTAAGTAAAATTAGTGGATTATTTTTATACTCAATTCCTACATATGCATGTACCCATGTACACATGACATTACATGTTCATAAATAAATACTGACTGTCACAATAATCACAAATATTACCATGTTGTTCCTTGTCTTGTCTCAGTGCAGATATCATAATAGGATCATCATTAATAGTCTCAATAAAAAAAGAAGCTTTCTTATCATAACTATATAGATGAATCATTCCTTATCTTCTGTAGAATAGGAAGGGACACTTCTTCCACTGACAGTATAAACTCTAAAAATTGAAGTAACTCCAACATTGAGTAAACACAACTACTAGGAATGAATCCCTCATCACCAAACACCAAGGATCTTCCTTTCCACCAAAAACTATCCTCCTTCTCATATATCTCTAGCTGCTCTCCTTCACTGATTGATATGCGATCACTTGTTGTTGCATGATAGTCATAACGAGCAATAAAAACAGACTCTGCTTTTGGTTTATTCACTATATACCTATATCAATCAGTTAATGAAATGACGACACATACTTGTTATTATATTTCTATATTTTTCATTCTCTTCTCTTTTATTTAGTATATGTACACTCATTACTGATATCTGTTCTTGTAGTTCAGCTATTTCTCTCTTAATATCTATTAATGATTCATTCTGATCCAGTAAACCTATCATAGTATAATTATAATACAATAACACATACATATGATTCAGTACCAGTTTTATTTGTTAATAATAATTGCAATTGTTTTATTTCCATTCTTATTCCTCTTCTGATTCTGTATGATGCTATAAATAGCAAAATAATAAAAATAACTATTATTATAATTAATATTTAATTTTTTATTTCTTTAATAAAGATAATAATAATAATTATTATTATTAATTATTGATAATTCTAACCTGAACTAGTATTTCTTGGTAAAGACAGAAGTTGTTGAATTTCCTTTACTCTCACTTCTACATTATTTCAATTATAATTAATAAAGTTTTATTTTGCGCTGTACTTACTTGTTAGTGTTTCTTCTAATTGTTTGTTTGTTTTCATTTCTTTTATTAATTGTTTATTAATTATTGTCGCACTTGTATCAGTTGATAGTATATCTGAAATATAATCATTATCCATCAATTAATAATACTGGTCAACAAACATTACACTAATGTATTATTATACCTTGATTAATTACTGATTGAGTTGCTGCTCCTTCTGTTTCTTTCTCCTCCAGTCTTGCTACTCTCTCTTCCTATTAAGTTAGTTTAATAAAATAATCAAACACAAATTATTATACCTTTGTATCATGAGGTTGTTCCTTTATCTCCTGTACCTCCTCTTCCAGTGGTTCCTGTATTTCCTTTATAATACAGTATGTAATAATAATTACTGACAGTATATATACACATACTTGTATCTTTTGTTTCTTCCATATTGTGCAGTATCCAATAGTAAGCTTCATTAGACCATTCTTTATTAATAATTTAAGATTCTCACTCAATTTTATAATGAGAGCTCCAGTGAGAGAGTGAGGGAAGGAGCAAGTGAGTGCAATAGAGTATCCAGTATCAATATACTTTATCTTCACAAATTTACCAGACGTCTTGGAAAGAATGTCAGTAATATCTTTCAATTTCTTCTCATCAGGTCTCCAGTCAAAGACATAAGTTGCTGTTTCACATTTAAGAGAAGGACTTGTTTTGACAGCATCGAACTTCTCCTTCAAGCAAAGATCAATTGACATTGACTGACAGAACTCTTCTAGTGTTGTCTTGTATTGTTCAATGTGTCTTTCAGCTTCAGCGACTTCAAATTCTTCAACTATAGCTTCCAATAGACTAATATCAGTCAATGACACTCTC